CAGGTGAGGATTAAAAATATAAAAATAAAAATATTAGTAAATATATGCTCATGGCCTCCATAGCATAACAGAGAACAAAAAGATAACAACGAAACAATTCTGTAAGGAAATCCCTACTTTAAAAAGATTCTAATAGCCAATTTCATGGCAAGGGTAAAGTTACAATTATAAAGATCTCATCAAGAAAACTGTCTTTAGCAAACTACAAAGCTCAGATAAGGATTTTTGGTACAAGACAGTTTACAAAGCCAATAGCCAAACTGATTAACTCTTTCCTCTACACTACAAACTTTATTTCTCCCTCCCTCCCTAAAATTAGTTACCTACTTAAGGAAGAGACCCAGGTGTCCCTATTACAAATCCAATAATATATTCATCTGTATTTTCAGTTTTCTACCAATAGACTCTCATGAAGTAGACAGTGAAAATGAATCTAGGAAACCACATTACCCAAGGATTCCACAGGGAACAATAAGCTAAAAGGTTCTATGGGAAGGATGCCTTGTGCAGCAAAACACTTCAAATGCACAAATTGGACATTAGGAAACAATGTCTCATCCCTTAAGCCACAAAAGACACAGGAAAATTCAAAAACAAAATACACCCAAAAAGGGAAAAACAAAAGGAACCCTGAGTTAGTAGCTACTTTTTATGTATGGTACAACTAGGCATTTTAACTGTCATTTTATTTGAACTGCATTACTGACCCATGCGATAAGTAATATAGCCATTTTCTACACATGAAAAAAAGGAAACAGCATTATCAACACCACACCAGGCACTGTTCAGTGCCCAGCATAAGTTATCTCAATTAACTCTCACATTATCATTTCAGGTTGGTATCTCTATTTTACAGACAGGAAAACAGGCCCAGAAATGTTAAGGTCACACACAGTAATGGTACCAATTTTTAAGCCCACTGACTTGAGCTATCACATCTATCCCTCCCAGGCTACTTATAAACCCCATCCAAGTCACATCATTCTTTGAAACCACAAGTTTTTATTTTAAGGACTCAAAAATCAAATAATCAACTCTCAATTATGGAAAAGACTACTTCTCCAGGTTTTTTCCAAAAATTGTTTCTATTTTACTTGCTGTGTGCCATAGCACCTCTAGGAAGTTGTGTGCATGTAAAATACAGGATTATATTAATATCAATCAACTTCAGAATTTGTTAGAAGTTCTATTGGGAAAGGCTACACAGAAAGTTAATTCTTGGTTCAAATTATATTTCCTGAAATACTTGAACTTCCATGATACATTCAATGTCTAACTATTATCAAAAATAATCAAGACTCAAAGAATAGTTTTGAACAAAAGAATGATTCATGTTGTTTGAGGAAAATGTATGCATATCCTCCCTGACACTAAAAGTCTCATGTGTGAGGGCTGTAATACTTCATGGGACAATAGGGTTGACTGAATAAAATTTCTAGTTATCCCATGCCCCAAGAATTAATATTGAATTGCATTTATTACTGGAGAAGAGGAACATAAGGTGGGAGGCAAGGTCCAAAAAGCAAAGAGAGGAAAAGCAGACAATCAAGCAGACAAAAAACAGTTATGAACCTCCAAAAAATACGTACAGGCTCATCTTAATAAGAAAGCTTTTCATATAAGAGAATACTCTGAATAACTTTGTTCCTACTGAAACAAACTGGGAGACCTAAGACTACATTTAACATACTCTTGCTCTGGAAGTATTAGTTAACCAAACTTGACCATTAAATGTCAGGTTTTTAAACTTATCTGTACACAATGTGAAATACCTAGAGATCAGTCCACTCTGACAAAAAACACTCATCTATATATATAAAAGCCTAAGTGATCAGAACGACCAGTCGCTATGATGCGCACTGACCACCAGGGGGCAGAGCCAACCTCCCCCAGCCAGCCAACCTCCCACGGTCCCTCCCCCCGGCCGTCAGCCCCTGGCCGTCAGGCCGATTGGCCTGCCACCCGCAGTGGCGGGGGAAACCGCGTGGTGGCGCAGCACCGATGGCGGCGTCCATTCCTTCCACACCCCCTTTCCTAGGGGGGTCCAAGGGCCAACCTCCTATGCCCCGTCCCTCCCCCCAGCCAGCAGGCCCCAATTGGCCTGGCCCCGATCGCCAGCCAGGCCTAGGGACCCCACCCGTATTGAGTTTCATGCACCAGGCCTCTAGTATATTATGAAGCAAAGGCAGAAACTTCAACCTGCCTATTTTTCTCTTCATGTGATACTTTTTCTGTACACAACCCATATTTTGAATATGCTGCACATTCAAAGATTAGAAATTAAGATTAAATTAGAAGTGGTGCTATTATTTGTGATTTGGTTTATTGTTATGTACTTATATGCACCCTGATATATTTGATTTTTCTAGAGATTTGAGCTTGGTGGTGGACATACCTGTGTGACAATCCACAGGAAGAGCATGAATTCTAATCAATTCAGCAGCCTTTGTAGAACTCCAAGAGAGGAAGAACTATCAAGAGACATCACTGTACACAATGACCTCAAGAAGCAGAGAATTCAGCCACAAAAAGGAATGAAGTCCTGATGCATACATGCTACAACATGGATGAAATGAGTGAAACTATTGCTAAGTGAAATAAGTCAGATACAAAAGGACAATATTGTAGGGTTCTAGTTACATGAAATACCTAGAAGAGGCAAATTCATACAGACAGTAAGTAGACTAGAGCAGCGGGGGTCCCTGAGGTCCGAAGGTTGGCCACCACTGGACTAGAGTTTACCAGGGGCTAGGAGGAAGGGAAAATGGGGTGTTTATTGCTTAATGGTTACAAAGTTTCTGTTTGGAGTGAAAAAAGATGGTGGTGGTGACTGCACATGAATGTACTTGACCTAAACCTAAAAATCTAAAATTATAAAACTCCTGGAAAAAAACAGGGGGAAAGCTTCATGGTTTTGGACTTGGCAATGATTTTTCGGGTATAAAACCAAAAGGACAAGCAACAAAATAAAAAACAGACAAATGAGAGGACATCAAACTTTAAAAAAAACACACCTGGTTTTTAAAAAAATATTTATTTTAATTGATTTCAGAGAAGAAGGGAAAAGGAGAGATAGAAACATCACTGATGACAGAGAATTACTGATGGGCTGTCTCCTGCACATCCCCCACTGGGGATTGAGCCCACCACCAGAATCAAACCGTGACCTCCTGGTTCATAGGTCAACGGTCAACCACTGAGCCACATCGGCTGGGCAATATTAAGTTTTTAAAGGACACAATCAACAAAGTGAAAAGTCAGCGTACAGCATGGAAGAAAGTATGTTCAAATCATATATTTAATAAGGGATTAATATTGAGAATATATAAAAAAACTTTACTTCAACAACAACAAAATCAAACAATGTGATTTAAAAATGGGCAAAGAACTTAAAGGCATTGGCCAACAAGCATAATGTCCAACATCATTAATCAGAAAAATGCATACCAAAACCACAATGAAGCCCAGTTGGTGTGGCTCAGTGGCTGAGCATTGACCTATGAACCAAGAGGTCACCAGTTCTCAGAGCACATGTCCAGGTTGCAGGCTTGATCCCCAGTAGGGGGTGTACAGGAGGCAGCCAATCATTGTTTCTCTCATCCATGTTTCTATCTATCCTTTTCCCTTCCTCTTTCTCTAAAAATCAATAAAAACATTTTTTTAAATTACTCTCAAAACCACAATGAGATATCACCCCCATCAGGTTAGCTACACTTTTTTTAAAAAGTTTTAAAAACAGGGTAGCTCAGTTGGTTAGAGTGTCATCCCAATATGACAAGGTTACAGGTTTGGTCCAAGATCAGGGCACATACAGCAATCAACCTGTCAGTCCATGAATGAGTGGAACAAATCGATGTCTCTGTTTCTCTCTCCCCCTTCCTCTCTCTAAATAAACAAATAATTAATTTTTAGAAAACCACATACACACAAAACAAATATTGGCAAGGATGTGAAAATATTGGAGCCCTTGTGCTACTGGTGGGATTGTAAACTTTCAGATTAGCAAGACAGAAATTCTGTAGATATTTCCCAACAATGTGAATGAACTTAATGTCACAAACTAACTATACACTAAAAAAATAGTTAAGATGGCCCTGGCCGATGTGGCTCAGTTGGTTGGTGACATCTGATGTACTGAGGGTTTGCGGGTTCAATTCCAGATCAGAGCATATGCTTGGGTGGTGGGCTCGATCCCTGGTGGGGAGTGTGCAGAGGGCAGATAATCAATGTGTCACTCTCACACTGATGTTTCTCTTTCTCTCTCCCCCTCTCCCTTTCTCTCTCTAAAAATCAATTAAAAATCTTTTTAAAAAAATAGTTAGCAATGAACAAAATAAACTGACAAAATAGAACCAGAGACATTGAAGAATGCATGCAACAGACTGTCGTATTTCAGAGGGGGAGGGGGTGAGAGAAGAGATTAACCAAAGAACTTATATGCATATGTGCATAACCCATGGACACTGATAATAGTTTGGTGAAGGCCTGGAGAGGGGGCAGGAGTAGGGTGGAGAGGGTGAATG